AGAAGCGAAACAAAATTATTCTTGAAACTTTATCGTCACACCTCGAATATAATCTGCTTTTATATTTGCAAGGAAAGCACGTATAAAATGTATAAATAAAAATTTAGTACATAGTAATCTGTAAGATTGCCTTTATTTTCATTGCTTCGATCGATCGTTTCAATAACGCACATTTCATAGATAAATTAGTTTGTTCTATTACGATGTTTCGTTCCAGCTGATGTTTCAAATTTCCTCCCATTTACACATTCTGCTCTAGACAGTTCTCTTCAAGAATTCTCTATTTTAGCACGCAAGTAGTATTTCTTTTTTGTCCAGGAGTGTAATTAACCAACGCGAATCCGTCGTATGATCCGTCGAATATCAGAAAATTGCGTTTGAAAGTATCGTTTCCGTTTATTAAGCGTAATTTGGGAATTTCGCGATATCGGAGATTAGTATTAATCGCGGAAAAGTGCGAGGAAAATGTTTCCTTCTGCTAAATTGTTTTACCAACCAATTATCGTAAGGACGTTCGAATACGTTCGACCGTTAACCCCTTGACCTACGATTTAATTCCAAATAGTTTGCCAACGTATACTATTTAATTTTGTTTAAACTTGTTCGAAAGAGATATGGCCACGAAAAAGAATAGATTTGTTTTACGAACACTTCGTGAACGTAAAATTGTGTTCATTTTAATATACAAGGTGTTCGGCCACCACTAGGAAAAATTTTACTGAAATTCTAGAGATCAAAATAAGACGAAAATCAAGAATATCAATTTCATAATTGAGGCTTCGTTGAAGAGTTATTAAAAAATTAAATTAAAAAATTTCAAATCTTTTTGAAAAAATTATTTTTAGCTGCGGGGGTCAATTACAATTATTTTTGGTGAATACACATACCTCAGAAATCCTTCGCATTTTCGAGAAAAAAATTCAGGAAGGTGGACAAAGTCTACAAAATTAAAAAATTTCAAATCATTCTAGGAAAATTATTTTCAGTTGAGGGGGTCAATTACAATCATTTTTGGTGAATAGACATACCCCTGAAATTCTACGCACTTTCTAGAAAAAAATTCATTACTAAAAATATAATGTCTGATCATAACTGTCTGGATACACTGAAAAAAAAATTTCAAATCGTTCTGAAAAAATGATTCTTAGTTGCAGGGGTCAATTACAATCATTTTTGGTGAATACATATACCCCCGAAATCCTACATACTTTTGAGAAAAAAATTCTTTACCGAAAATATACTGTATGGCCGGAAATGTTTCTGTAACTTTTTAACGAAGCCTCAATCAATAAATTAGTATTCTTGATTTTCATCTTATTTTGGCCTCTAGAATCTCCCACTAAAAGTTTTCCTAGAGTTGGCCGAACACCCTATATGTATAAGACTCGATGACAAGCGAGTTGCTTCATAATTGTGAAACTTGACATTAAGAATTTGGTATAAACAGACAGTACATCGAAAGAAATTTCTGATACTTGAAACTCGTTGTAAACACGTAAGATCGGTACGAAAATTCAACGAGCAAAGATAGACGTAGACGGAAACGGATCGTGGTGGACCAAACGCAAACCAATTTCACTGAAGATTACGTTTCCCGTGAGTAATTTAAATCCCACGCTAAGAACGTTATCGTAAAACAAGGAAGATGTGGGGTAAAAGAAAGACGAGCCCCTTCCAGCGTGTAACCCCAGATCCGCCTCTGTTCCGCGAATCGACTGCACGGAGCGAGACTTCTAGGTTGGATGTTAGGTAAGGAGGAACGCAAAGCATACACCCCTGCAGAGAAGCTGCCGAGCCCCTGAATAAATGATGAGGATATATTTACGGCGAGCGGTTTTAAATAAATTACAACTGCGGAGACGGCGAAGGAGTATCTTCGTACCGGTGCGCCCCTTCTCCCAAATGCCCTGTTCTTTGGCCTGTTCCACCATCTTGACTCGAGTCAGCCGTCTCCGAGTATATTCCGTGTGTCTACCTTTTCGGTATTGTTCTTACCTTCCCGTCGATTCGAGGGGAGTCCTGTCTGGGATTATAAAAACCTACTGTTGGATACTTGCTGCCCGTTGAAATACATGGTTTTCCAATAACGGGGATAGAACTTTCAATTTTCGTAGCCGCCATATTTGTTATTCGTTTGTTCGAGTCAATCACCACTGGATTCTACTCCAAGTTTTATAAGTCATAATCAGATATTTCGCGAGAAACGTGAGTTTGTCTGGTCTGGTTCGACCGGGAAAATGAAATCGATTTTCTTTTCTCGCGTTTTCGAGTTTGAAGTTTGAAGTTTTAAGAACATAATTGTAAAGTATTATGGTGAAATTTGAAAAATTGGCCAAGTTGCGGGTCTTTGAACCGAACTTCTTATATGTATACTGTCACGGTGCAGGGCAAACTTTAAAGCCATTTTTCTCGAAACAACATTTTTCAAGCTCCTTGACGTTCCATCTTGGGCACAAATGGACCGAATTAACTTGAAATTTTATACGCGAATAAAATAACATATCGTTCATCGTCTTTGTTGAAATAATTCGTTTGTCGAGGTTCTTTTTTTAACGCTAGTCAAAAATTTGTAACAGTTTACTCCAAAAAAAGTTACAAGGGTCATGAAACTTACAAAGCTAAGAACTAAATATAACCTTCAAAGAGGTTTTCTGATGTAGAGGATCGAAAATATTGATTTTTGGATTATTGCATTTTCTCCAAGTTTAGAGTCCCGGGTATATTCCTAAAGTAGTAGAGCAAAATTCGCGAAGTTCCCAAAGTTATGGATGCTTGAATATTTAGTAATTATAAAATTTACAGAGATTTATTCTGAACTATTTTGCGTTTTCTCGGCCGTCATTAAACTTGTTTCTATAAATCATAGGTTTAACGTTCTATTAACACTAAACCTACCGGGACCGGTCAAATTACCGTTTTTAAAATTTCGTTTAGAATTCATAACACACAATATTATTTTAGCATTTCACTTTCATTCTTATTGTATAATAAGATGCACTATTCACTTCTATTCTTATTGTTTGTTTTCTGAGGAAAATATGTAGTCTGTAGTTTATATTTGAACTGAACAAAATTTGGTATCAAATTCTGGTTAGCTTCCGATGTAAATAGGAAATATGTATATGTATAGCAAAGACGAAAGGAATCTTCAGTCTTACAACGTGTATTAAAATAGCTAAATTTTAGACACGTGCTGTTCCGAAACCACTAGTGTTTTGTTAATTATTGAGCCATCGTTGGAAGCGGTAAACCTTCTCTTTTAAAATGGTTTTCGAATTTTATCGATCCGACTTTTCGTTTTCGAGATATCGTAATTTATGTAAAAGGTAATATTTTTTCATTCGACTATGTCACTGTCCGGCTTGCGTATAATTAACGCGTATTAAAAATACTAAAACTTTAATTACGTGCAGTTCCGAAATTACTAATGTTTTTGCCATTGTTGAGCCACTGTTAGAGGCAGCAAAGCCTGCCCTTCAGAATGGTTTTTGGTTTATGTCGATCCGACATTTATTTTTCTTAATTTGACTATCTCTGTCTTCGTTTGACGCGTTGTGTCCTCTATGTCGCACGTGAGTCGTGACTGAATGATCTAGTTTCGGCGTAGTATTTCCAAGAATTTACTACGCACTGTTTCCAATTTTCACGCGCGCGAGTTCATTGGTCCCAATGAAACGCAAACAAACGCTTCGGACCTTTACATCTCCGGAACTAGCCACCACATCGACTTGAAACTAAAATCGCTATACCTCCGGAACTAATAAAGCTATCGACTTGTTCGAACGCTCGTTTTAAAGGGCATTTCATCCTCTACCTAATAATCATATCACCTACTATCATTTGTGCTATCCTCTATGTTTATTTTGAAATTTACTTTGACTCTACGTACCCAAAGAAGTTTCAGCAATTCCTATTGATCATACGACGAGTGTACCATAAAACTGGATCATAAACCGTTTATGTAATTGAAAATTAATTTAAATTTGAATACAGGATGTTTGCGTAATTACTAGCCAACACTTTTTCTTAAAAAGGTGCATGTAATTAGTAATTAAATTAAATGTTCGAACTGCATTCCACTTCCTGCAACACAAAGTTCCATTCTTTGTAATAAAGTCTTATGTGTAGCTTCAATTAGAGAACTTCTTTGTACAGTTCTACATATTTTGTATACATTTTTCCTTTTACTTTGTGCGTTAAGTTTTGAAGTTGAACAAATAACCATTCGTAATGTTTACATCTGAAAGTTATCATGTAATATGTAGGTCGTTGAATTCGTCTCGACATCGCCTACGATACTACAAAATAAAGATACCTAGTTCCACCTAAAAATATAACAGTGACCTTAATCTTTTATCGAAAATCAATTTGTTTCTAAATTTAAACAACTGCAATTTCTTGTCGGTTAAATACTGATTAACGATAGGGAACATTCTTTTGTCAGACTATCGAAAGGGACTAGTTCGTGGCCCACCCTGTACAATACATAAAACTCAAGTGCACAATAGTTATACTACTTTTGTTAAATTTAATTTATACGTATTTCATTCACCTGTCCCCTTAATTCTGTCCGCAACTGTATATAACTTCAGAATCTCCAGAGGGGCGGTAGTGTTCGCGTGAAATGCGCGGCCATCAAAGCGTTGAAACGCGAGGCTTCGTTGAATCAAAGCGGAGAAGCTCGCGGAATCTCTGCCCGTACGCAAGAGGGGTCCGATAGCGATTTAACGAGGCGACGATTATCGCGATTATACGAGTGGCAGCGACTGCCGTATCGAGGAGCGCGCGGCAGGAGGGTTGGGAGGCGGTAAAAGAGGGAGAGCACGGAGGAAGCTGCGAGGAGTGGTTTAATGGCGCGTATCAAGCATCCGGCCGACGTGTTCAGCGGTGCTTGGACCGTGGAATCGCAAGTGACTCTGGATGGCCGGCGACGAAGCGGGAGCAGAGGGGAAGGAAGATATTTCCTAAAGACGTAAATACAAACGAAGCTAAAAGCTCACCTCTCGGCGGGTGGTCCGAGGCCCCCCACGGTGCTAGGTGGTGGCGGTGGCGCCCTTATGGGGGTTGGCGGTGGCGTCGAGACGCCACCCAGGGACGGCTGACTCTGCTGGGGCCGCGGACTGACCGAGGCGGAAGTCGTGCTGGGGCTCCTCGATCCTCCAGCTCCATCTGGGCCGGCGTCCTCAGCGTCTGGGGCGCTGCTGCTCGTTGTACCTTTTGAGGAAAGAACCAAGAATTACGTCAATACGATTTATTCGACTACGTCGGGTCGGGTTGCACCGAGTGGTATTTTAAATAACGATGCGTCTTTGGGCGAACCTGACGAGAAGGTACACCCTCACCGATTTTGATAAGGTTGATATTAGGGCGTCCCATATACAGGGTGTCTCACCCGATTTTGACATCTTGATTTTCTCGCTATTGTTACTCGTAACAAAAAATGTTTCAGCGGAGGCTTGAATGGTATCGAGTGGAGCATATTCTGATGTTATTAGTTTTATCGTGAGTGGACGCGTAAAGGTCATATAAAGGTCAACTTTGTTTTTTTAAATGGAATGAGGTATTTTTTAATACATCAATCGATTCAGCTGGACAATCGTTATAAAAAAGTACTAACTATGTAACGTCGAAAAATTAATAGTTCAGGGGATATTTCAATTTAAATAATTCTAAAACACCATTACTGTTGTACTAGTCTAACGTTGGTAAACAGAGCCAACGTCTTAGTGCGGTAGTAATGATGCCTTAAGAATTTAAATAATTTAAATTGAAATATCTCTTGAACTACTAATTTTTCGACGTTACATAGTTAGTACTTTTTTATAACGATTGTCCAGCTGAATCGATTGATGTATTAAAAAATACCTCATTCCATTTAAAAAAACAAAGTTGACCTTTATATGACCTTTACGCGTCCACTCACGAAAAAACTAATAACATCAGAATATGCTCCACTCGATACCATTCAAGCCTCCGCTGAAACATTTTTTGTTACGAGTAACAATAGCGAGAAAATCAAGATGTCAAAATCGGGTGAGACACCCTGTATAGTATTTGTGATTTGTACGACGATGAAATTTGTAATTTAATAAAAAACAAATAAAATTTGTTAGTTCAGGGGATTTCTGAAATTTTAAACATACTAACAGCAATTCATATTGAAACAAATAGATATTGTGTCTAAGATTGAAGTTTGGAATTCACATTGGCTCAGGGAACGAAATTTTCTTGATTTTGCTTGAGTCTGATTGCACGAATATTTTTGTTAGCTTATAATAGAACCGAACCTTGTAAGAAATAAAATAAAACAATCTCCATGCTTATTAAACAATTTGAAAATGTCAACGTTTTAATGAAAAGCATTCAACTACATTTTAATAAAACATGAAACAAGTTTTCTAGCGACGATACAGTGGCTTTGCTAAAGGAAGGAGAGAGAGTTGTCGAACGAAAAGAGGCTTATTGTTTAAAATATTGTTTTAAATTGTACAAAACTCGGCACGAACATATGGGACGACCTGATATATCATTTTCAATAGTATTTCGTTTTCGTATGGAAGACGATCGAGTTCAGTTTCTGAGTTAAACCATTTTTTCGAAAATTGATAGGCCGAACTCGAAGTAATGTTCTGTGGTTATTCCTGTTGTTTACATACCAATGATATTCAAGTATAAGAAGGCATACCGTTAAAACAATTCTCTCGTATAAGTGTGAAACTAACATCGACCGTCCTCGTATACGAATAAAAGACACGGTTCGAATCGTTGCGTGAAAGTTTTTCAAAATCATTGAATTTCCACGGGTAGTAGCGAAGGAGTAAAATATTGGTAAACGCAAGAAGCTTCTGAACTTTTTTATTCGCGTACCTTCCGGATCATGCCCGGTGGGACTTGGACCCGCCGATGAAGACGATGGTGGTGCCAGTCCTGTCGTTTCTAATGTACCAGCCCCTCCTCCACCCTCGCGTTTCCTTTGCTCCTCCAGCATACGTTCGGTTTTTCGCCACTTTGCTCTGCGATTTTGGAACCATACCTAGAAATGTACAGCGTACCTGTGATTCGGTGTTGCGCAATTTTCGAACAACTAACGGTAAGAAGAGTATCGGAATCGAGCGATTAAAATTTGTCTGTAATTTCTCGAGCATCGAATTATCATCGAGGACTATGTGTGGCCTAATCAGCCTAGAACAGCCACCTACGACGGAAGGGGAACAGGCCGTGAAGAAGGTGACGCAAAGGGAAGAAAAAAGGAAACGAGAGTAAGATGAGGAACGGCGCTGAAGGCGGCACTTAAGCTGCTTTAACTACACCTGGCTCTCGTGCGCGAATATGAAAGGATAATTGCATGTACGGGGTGGCATTCGTAGCTGGTCAGAGGGGTGGTCTCTTGCCGGTGTACATGTTCAACGAGCCGACAGCAACCACGGCGGTCGAGTGTTTTTTAAAAAGCTCGAGTTCTGCTAACGAGGCTAACTTGACATAATACCAACTGAAATAGCCTTTATTATACCCAGCGGCCCGTTACGACTCCACGGGTATCTTCACCTAGACGATGTGGTGTGCTATTGCTTTCGATCATTACACGGAGGACAGTTTCCCCGAATTCTCGACGATGATTCTCGCGTGAATGAGATGGAAGCGATTTCCTTGAATTTTATTGACAGCGATACTCATTACGGGGGATTAAAATATATTTTTTATTTTGCAAATTCTGTGAATACGCATCATATTATTTTCCAATTTTTTTCTATCTTTACGTGGAACAAAGACACAGCCTCGCCCAGTTACCAGACTGTATAGAACGCAAGATATAAATTAAGGAGGGCTTTTCGTGTAACAGCAGTATAGACACTTGACTTTTATATAATTTTTCTCTAGCAAACTATTAATTATATTGGCTTAGGCTTTTTAAGGTGTAAAAAGATATTCATAAAGTGTAAACAAAATTTTTTGTTTCTTCTTTTTATTATGAGAGTGAATTTAATGCAATTTTTGTAATCCTTTCTTGGCCTGTTACTCGAGAATCCCCCATTAAGTCTCTACAAACCCGCGAATTTTCATCGAAATCTCTATACGAGGCTATTTCCTTTCAGTCTTCATTTCCCTGTAAATATCACGATAAACGGGTTTCGCTTTTTTCGTTTCTTAATTAACTTCGTTTATAGTAATTTCGTTATTGCGTAAAGAAATTTCCATTAATTTCTTTTTTTTTATTCCACAGAGTTAAACGAACGAAACAGTCCAAGGAAGCACAGACGAACGGAACCGGCTCATTAACAGATTTAAATCGATAATAAAATAAACGTAGCTCCGGCGAAGTCGATTACTGTCGAGTAAACAGATTTGCCCCCGGAAGACAAAACATATTATAGACGGAGCCGCGGAAATGATTATCCTTCGTTCGGTAGGAAAAGTTTCACGTCGGGAAGCTTGGGAAATGGTTTAATAAAATAAATACGACGAGCGCCGCGGTCCCGATGGCTCCGAATTCGAGCTCGCGGAAAAAGGACGGGGGATGCTGGTCGACGGGGGAGAGATATAATAATATCCTCAAGGTTACGGGGGCGAGTAATAGCTGAGAACAAAGCCGCAGTTCCGCCGGGACCAGTCGTTCTTCTCTTTCTCTCTCTCTCTCTCTCTCTCTCTCTCTCTCTCTCTCTCTCTCTCGTTCGTTCCTTTTCTCTCTTCCGCCATTTTTTCCCCAATACGAATTTAATCCGAAAGACGTCGGTAATGGCGCCGGGTTCGCTACCCCGCAAAATAAACGTATTTAATCTTTCGACACTTGTTACTCAATTTTATGAGGGCTTTACGCCGAACGCGTCGACACTACGCTTCGCTAGGCGTTTTCCATAATAGCGATTATAAAAATGTGAAAAATAACCAGTGATTACATCGATACGATAGTTTGTTATCGGATAAGAATAATGGAAACAACATCGCTCTTGAACCTTTTATTCCCAAATAATTACAAAGTCATAAGGACTTGTTTATATTTTCGTGTACAAATCAGATGACAGATAATTTTTTTTTACGAAACAAATTTTATCGATCGACCCGGAGTAAATAAATAAATGTTAAAGTATTTACAGAATTGAAAATTTAAATGAGAGTAAAGTTTGAAAAGCTATTGTCCGACTTAAATAAAAATAACCAGTAATTACATCGATACGATAGTTTGTTATCGGATAAGAATAATGGAAACAACATCGCTCTTAAACCTTTTATTCCCAAATAATTACAAAGTCATAAGGACTTGTTTATATTTTCGTGTACAAATCAGATGGCAGATAATTTTTTTTTACGAAACAAATTTTATCGATCGACTCGGAGTTTATAAATAAATGTTAAAGTATTTACAGAATTGAAAATTTAAATGAGAGTACAGCTTGAAAAGCTATTGTCCGACTTAAAAAATTAACAGAATTTCTAACAAGTAAATCGCATTGTAAATTTATACTGTACGGTTAAAAACTTCATGCAAAACTCGTTTGTCAAAGCCTCTTAACTCTTCATTACGCTTACGTTGAAAGAACTAAAAGGAATATTTTTGCGTGTAAATTTGTAAGAGCATTAGTACGACACGTAATTTAATGGCAGAAGGCATTGTTATTTTTCTCTCTTGAGTATTTCACGCGTTCCCTTCTCCGTCATACCTCTGTTCTTTCATAACCTTCTTTCTTTTATTCTTTTTAATTACATTTAATCCAACGTACGCGGATAATGGCGTTGCTCCGCTTTGCCCTAAGTTAAATACTTAATCTTTTGACACTCGCTATCCGAATCTGCTTTTAATCGTTAATGGATAAAGCATTTCATGATTCAGATTGTTCGAATGAAATTTATGTAGTTTTAATTCGACGAGCTTGTGCAACGGAGTTGATTTTTCATTTAAGGAAATTCAGTTCGTTCGAGTAATAATTTCTGTATGTTGTAACGATAGTTTAATCAGGATCAAAAAGCTTCGTGGTTATAATTTTAGATGGAACACGCGAGATTAAATAATTTTATTTAAGAGGATACTGTTGCCTAGAGTGTCATTTTTTCGACCCATTTTGTGATTTTTTTTTAATGATAGCTGAGCTGTTTTGTAGTGAGTTTTTAAAGATATATCTATTCATCTTATAAGTATGTACAGTATTTTTTTGATAAAAAAATATTTAAAATTGTGGGTGTTATTCTTATTTAAATGCGGTTTCTTAAACTGACTTTCATGATATTTCAAAATCTAGCAGACCGGCTCTGATCTTCACTTTCTGACTCTCAATATAGGACTGCATTTCTATTTCGTTTAGCTATAGAGAACTCATTGTAGGGAGTGTTTCTTGTAAATCTCCGATAAGAGTCCTTTCTGTTTGTGCGTTACGTCATATGGACCCAACCGGGCCGTTCAAATGCACACGTCGAAACCAAACCCACATATCAGATTTAGATAATTGAAACTATAACTTGAGAAGTGTATCTGAGTCCTGAACTAAGGTTCCAGTTGGAGAACTGCAGAAAAATACGTAAATTTCGTAAGGGGCAAAGAATTTTTTTGAGTAAAAAATAAGCTAAAAGAAAAACGAAAAGCGAGAAATTGAATAATCAGATGATATAAGAATTTACAGAAAGTCAGATGAGCCAAGGAAATAACATTGAATGTACGATTTTAAAGTTTGGAATGAGTCATTTGACCCCGCTTGGTACGTTTAATGTTAATTTGGCAGTGAATGTGTTAATCAAGACAAAGCAGATTGCGAGTGAGAATATTGTTAAAATTTTTCGTAGATCGTATTGTTATACTATTATTGAAATATGAAATGCTATAATTTATTTCACGAACATATGTTTTCTTCGTATAAAAATAGAAAATCCGTCGTCTGAGGTCGCAATCGTCGGGCCGGAAACGACTCGGCTCCGTCGTCTAACCATCCCGCCATCCGAGTGTTAATCGTTTGCAACAAGGAAGAGACGCTTGGCAACGAGACCAAGAATATCATGCTCGGTGTCGCAACGTTGAAAATTCAGCGTCGGAAAAGCGGCGCGAAAGGCTTCCGGGGTACACAGAGGCAGGTGTGTCGGCTCCCATCTCGTTGGCCCGTAATTCGTATTATTACACGCTTTGAAATTCAAACGGACCAGAGCACGCGACGTCGTGCTCGTCCAGGTTTACTACGCGCATGCTCCTCGGTAGTTTCTGCCGGTGTGCGGTATATAATTGTCAAGCACGGTGCACACAGGCGACGAACAAATGTCAGCAGCGCACCCTCGCAGGGAACCTGCCTCCGACGATCTACCGGGCGATGCTGGCCCACCCCCGCGCGCCCTTCCCCGCACGAGGCTCTAATTGGAGTAGGAGAAGAGAACCGGCACTGCATAAACGCGCCTATTTGTCCATTATTTCAGATTCCCTTTGTCTTCCCTAATGAAACAATGAGTCTGCGCCGTAATTGCGTCATACCCGCCCTATCCCTACCTTCCTCCCATTGTGTACACCGCTGACTAGCATGGCCTTCTCGTCTTATAATCCGGACAATGCATTGGGATAATACCGTGACCCTCCGCTGGACGCGACGCTGAAGGATTCTTTGCCAAACTCTCCACCATTGTTCTCGATTTTTCTCGACGATTATTATTGCGGTGGCTCTGTTAATTCCTCGATTTTCGATCAGATATCGAATTCTTATCTTTACTTTCCTCTATTCGAGCTTCGATGAACGCTAGAGATATTAGGAAAATTTTGCACTTGGCTACCACGTCGCTTATGTACAACTATCGTCGATAATATTTCAAAGTCAATTCGCAGTCGTACCGCGTCCAGGTTAACTCGTCGATGGCCACGAGGTTCGAGGAAACATGTGCTCGTTCACGCACGTGGTAGCGATGACCAACGGACTGTCACGATTCAAATCCACGCGTGCTCAAGACGAAGCAACTTTGATCCGAAATACGAAACTATTTTTTACATGTTCATTTACACCCTGTGTATCGACTGTTACTGTTGATTGGTGAAATAATAATTGAAGAAATTACAATTGTATATTCACAAGAATTTATGACGTGTTCGCCTTAGCTGTCGATACACAAGACTGTACAGAGAGGTCGACAACGTGCACAGCAGTTGTACAAAGCCTAGATGGCAGCCAACAGTTACGTACCGATGATTAAATCTAGAAACAAACGAGAAAAAATCCCTCGCGGAATTCTGGCAGCGTTAACGCGCGTAAAGAGTGGGCGGAATTAAAAATTTGACATCAGCGATGAGATATCCTGCAGATGTTCCAACAGAAGTTCGGTAGGAAATCGCTATTACTGCAGGGATTCTCTGCAGCGCGAATTACGCGCGGTGCGAGTAAATATGGCCACGAGGACGTAGCCAAGGGTACAAAGTAATCCCGGAGATTACCGGCTTACTCTGTCAGCAGATTATGTCAGGTCGAGGGTGTCAGCAGCTTCCTCGGGCATTCGGTGTACCCTAAACCTACCCTGCACCTTGTGCTCTTGCCCTTACGGCGGTGATCCACCGTCGCGCATTAAAACAATCGATCATTGCAGTTCGTCCGATTGACCCCTCCTGTTCTGACATTGCTACGCGTTGTTATACACACCGACGAGTCAACTATTTTCTTTCTGGTTGATTGTTTAAGGATTTTTGCCAAAAGTAATTCTGATGATGAAGTCAATAACTTAATTTTAGTGATACATTGCAATAGTGAGTGTTGAATAATTCTCACAATCAATACACTTCGTTGAATCGATTAACTCATAATTTCTATGTAATCTTTTTATTACCTTTCTTTTCAATTTTTAAATTTGATGTGGGATTAATTACCCAATTCTGCCAAATATAAGTGATTGTACAATTTTTGAAGCGTTGAATTACTTCATCTATGTGTTTGTATTGATATAAATTATTTAAAAATTGAAAATCTAATCATGATGCTATTACTGGTTCGGTAGTACAAATTCAAGCTAAAATGTATAAATACTTTAAATTTCTAGTTTTTCATTACATAAGAGAAATTCACTTCGAATAAAATTGTATTTCTAAGCAATATACATATAGGGTGTTCGGCCACCTCTGCCAACAATTTTAATGGGAGATTCTAGAAGCCAAAATAAGATGAAAATCAAGGATACTAATTTGTTGATTGAGGCTCCGTTAACAAGTTATTAACGTTTAAAGTTCCGCTTGTAGTAGTGGTTCTCACTCAGCATGAAAAACTCATACTCTTGTTGACGCATCGACAGTCTTATAGTTTTCTAAATGAGAACCACTAGTTTTAACTAGCATACATATATTAACTAACTTTAAACGTTAATAACTTTTTAACAAAGCCTCAATCAACAAATTAGTATCCTTGATTTTCGTCTTATTTTGGCCTCTAGAATCGTCCATTAAAATTTTCCCCATAAGTGGCGAAACACCCTGCATTAAATTGTTGCACTAACCTGAACTCTAGCCTCCGTGAGGTGAATCTTTATTGCTAGATCCTCTCTGGTGAAGACATCCGGGTAGTGCGTCTGCCTAAACGCAGACTCTAGTTCCTCCAGTTGTTGAAGGGTGAACGTGGTTCTGTTTCTCCTTTGTTTTCGCCTTCCGAAGGATTCGTCGCCTACACCGTGCAGAGCAGGGTGATACGGAGAATAACTGGTATCTGAAACAAAACAGAACAACGCTTTTTAAATGGCGAAATCGTGACTACCAGCTGCTAACTAAAAATATATTAAAACATTCACAATATCATATGGGCTGTCCCAGAAATAAGGGAATCTGGATTTTTATTCCAGTTAGTTCGAGTTAATCTCATAATACCACTTTCAGGGTTTCAGTTTAACATGCATTTTTATTGTTCAAAGTTTTATTAGCATTCTTAGGGTCGCTTGCTCTAATATGGAATACTTTTATAAAAACTTAAATATTATGAATTTATAGGAAATTTTATGCACTTTTGACTGGTAACAGCCAAATTTAAAATATAATAATGGTTTAGGAACTGTTTACTTTTTTACCGAAATTCTCATTTTCCATATTAGGCTCATAGTGCTTGTAATACTATATGTATAATATAACATATCGAATTGACACTTTTATAATTCTATAATATTCCATAATATTGCAACTGACCCTATACTTTGGCAAGTCTCTGTACCGCTGTACAATATAATTGCTCGGTTCGCGATTCAAACGTTGAACGGCTCATTTGCCAGCGAATTACGAAAATACAGATGCGTTGTTTACAAATTCAAAAACCGTAGACTGTCCCGATGATGGTTGAACCACGCGCGGGCAAAAGGACGAGGGAGGTGGGGGTGGAGGGTGTAGGGAAACGACGGTATTGGGCGCACGTAGAACCAGAGAGAATCCACCGCCCGGTAGGGGCGAACGTTACGAAACCCAGAGAACCGCTTATTAATGATGCAGAGCAATCAGCGCAATTAATTACCGCGGCGCTGAGCCGGGGCTTAGCGAAAAACACAAATTAATTTCCTAAGCTCATAAAAATTCATGCGGTTCGCTCGCTGCCGAACGACAGTCAGGGCCTGCGGAGATCCGCTATCGACTGTATAACATTGTGCACCGCTCGTCCGCACTCGGTGCATCCACGTGCAACTTTGCGTTTAATTACGAATTTTACCGTTTTTACTTTTACATATATATCAGGTCGCTTCGTAACTCGCGTGCGTTTCTTTTTCGATTTTTTAATTAAAATAAAATGAAAGCTCATTGTTTTATTTTTGTACACATTCGACGATATCATCATGTATACGGGCACGAAATACGCTCGTCCATAAAATTTACCTTTAACGGCGTTACCGTGAAAATTGACGATAATTACATTTTAACGGTGAATATTTTTTGCAGTTTCAACGTTTCGAGAAACATTCTGAAACGCAAAATTCGATAAAGCGCCGGATACGTAAGCAACGTTGGCGAGAGCTTTCTGCGTGAAAAATGCACGGAAAAATTGAAGCTGTGAATTAATAATAAAATTGAGGCAATTACAGGGAACGTTCCGAGGGACATATTTTCCACGATGAAAAGACTGCCATTAAACGCGAGGACAGAGCATCGATCGCGGGAAATTGAATTGGAAAGTCATATATGCTGCACGCGAAAATCCTCGCGAACGGTCGTATTAATTTTGCAGACGCGAGAGACTATCGCCAGTGACACGATACGAGTTTGCTCAACGGTATAATTGTTCCATGGTAGTTACGAAAGTTTGTCCCTGCTCGCAGACTTGTTGCAAACAGGTCCGCGATACACGCGAATTTAATCCTTGAATTTTATCTTCTCCTAGACAAACAATCGTCGCTTTCGGTAGGGGAAACGCGCAATAAATACGATATTACTTTTTGTTACTCTATGATAGCTTTTTACAGCTTGATGGGTGTAGGAATTGTTGTTTGCTGGCGTCTTTGTCAAAAACAAGTTGCATAATAGTTTTGCACGTTCCCGAATAGAAATTAGTTACCAAGCCAATCCTTAATTTATGTATCTCACGCATACTATATACATTAGTAATCAAAATAACTGCAGTATTTACTGCTGCGATTTCGAAACATTAATAACCGTGGTTCCTGTTGATACTGCGCTGGGCCATGAGCTAAGGACTTCAGGGCACCCCAATGAAATACTAGTGGAACTCGTAAGAAGCAGTAATGCGCTATCCATTTACACAGATGGAAGCAACATTTCAGGCAATAATTGTGGCTGTGCGGTATGCTGGTGTCCCGAGATGAGTACTGAAATAAAAATTCGCTTCTGTGATCACGGCCGAGCGTATTGCGCCAAATCATGCCCTAGACATTGCTTTAAGCAACAAACACCGCAATACATATATACATTTGTTCCGACGCTCTTAGTGCCCTACAGAGCTTGCAGACCACAAAAATATCAATCAAAACAAACTCGTACACTCTCGAAATTAAGAAAAAATTTAATGACTATTCACAACAATACAAACAATAGTTTTCTTAAATTTATGTAGGTGCCGTCGCGTATAGGAATTCTTGATAATGGGAAAGTCGATAATTTGGCCAAAATAGCTACAAACTCGTATAACTTGGATATATTTGAAGGGATAGAGTGCGTGTTGGTATTATATAATCACAGCGTTCACTTTTTGAAGTCTTTATTTTCTGCGCGTCGTTCTCGAACAAATTGGTCTCGAGAAAACTCTCGTCTTTCTTTATATATTATTACATGGCTGTCGCCGTTTTCTTTGGCCAACCCCCTAAAAGGTGGGGTTAACCAATTAGCGACTTAGAACTCCGCCAAATCGTACCGTTCCCCTTCTTGCGCTCGCAGCGCGCTTCTTGAAACGGGGGTGCGATTTGACGGTGGTTGCGCTTGCTGGCGAAGGTGGCAACGCCGCGGAATTTCCCAAGGTCCTAGGTCGGCAGCGTGACCAGCCGATGGTCGCTTGTCCTTGCATAGAGGACCCTTGGGGAAACTCAGGGTTTATGACACTAGCGATTCACCATCGAGGCCGTTTAACAAATTCTTACTATGGGCATGCTTTTTACAAATTCTAATTGCAGAAACGACTTTCTCAAAGATAGCTTCGCTGTTGTCCATGTCATAAACCGTGCTAGCCGTTTGCATGTCCTATGCCTTTTTATACTTGTACGGCTAGCCGCTACATATTAAAAATTCCTTTCACCGACATTTTTGAAATTTATAAAGAAAAAGGCAGACAGAACACTCTGAGTATGATCAAAGACCAGGGTGTCTTTAAAGGGATGAAATACTTTCAATTATATTTCAATGGCAGTAGCAGACCTTGGTACTATTGAGGTAAATACAGAAGAGAATTTATTGTCACAATAAACCGTATTAGTTCTGGGCACTATAATTTTGCTGCCTCTCTCGCCCGCATTAAGATAATAAGGGATCCTATATGTAAATGCAACCATGAAATCGAAGACATCAATCATGTGGTTTGGCAATGCAGGCTCTATAACAGTTTAAGAGTCAAGTTAATTAAGAAGCTGCAAAATATGAAACTGTTTCTCCCACTTAATGTTGAATCGCTAGTTGCTGAATCAAATATTGCAGCTTGCCCATGTATTTTTAATTTTTTAAAAGAATGTAAACTGCGGATATAATGTACACGTAAACATACATACCACTGTATACATATATGAACCTTACCTGAGGTTTTCAAATAAAAAAAAAAAACAGAAAAAAAAGTACGATATTAGACAATTTTTTGGTGTCGATTACTAGGTGTACGTTTACTCTACGCCTCGTGAATCAATATTTCTTCCACGCGGTCGTTGATCGTATTCTCAAAAATCACGGTTCCCAGACTTCAATTTACACTTAACTCTCCGTAACGGCATCGTTCCCCGATCGGGAACGTCGCCCAAAATGATTCGTAGGACAGAAAATTGCGAAGGGCGAAGAATCGAGACCGGTTGGTCGGCTAAGTACATTTATCGGCGGCCGAAACCGAAATCCACTCAAGATCTTCGATTAGACTCGGGGCCGAAGTAAAGCCCGATCCCAGACAACTCGTGCAACTCATCGAGAGCCGGCTTGATCCAATTTATTAACGTGTACCCGGGGCACGGAAGAAAGGCTCCCGCGTTTCCCCGCTGACTTTTGCGCTTTGCACACGCCTGTACTTCGCCGCGTCGACAGCGAGCTTTGTTTCCCCTGGCCCCGTTGGAAAACAATAGGGGGATTAATTTCTTGTCGCTAAGAAAGGACAGAGACGGAACGCACGCACGTGCCCCGTCGACGTGCTACGTGCGCCTTTAAAACACTTTGTCCTGTCCTGTCTGTCCTGCGAGGACCGCCCTTGATTTGCTTCCGCTCGAAACGCGTGCTTCGTCGAGGCTACGGGGGGTGGCGTAACCCTCTTCGTGGCCTTCAACCAGGTACGGCTAAGAGTCTCGACGACAATTTTTCTAATTTGCGAACACCGCGTAGAAGTGATTCGGTTCGATAAAGGTGTCGACTAAATTTGCAATAATTCGAATGGATACTTGTTTTCGTAAAATACCGAGTAGTTCGTTTTGTTATAATATACAGGGGGTTACCGAACTGGTGATACGTGAAAAAATAAGTCGAAAATGTGGAGTAACATTTTCTCGTACCGGAGTTTCTTTTTTGAATAAATCGATATTATTTCACTTATTTACGTTTACGTCTGAATGATTAAGGATATCACTGTGTTATTCGATTGCTTAGCTTAGATACCAAGGGATAAACATTGAAATAAAACTACTTTTTGATCAAGAATTTTAAGGTGGGTTTCTCGTGTGACAGATTAAAATAATCAATTTTCTTTTGTTTCCATAAATTAAAAGTATGACAAGTTAACTAAAAAAATATGTAATTTGGTCTGGACGTCTCATAAAATAAATTCTACGTGTCGATCGAAATTGTCTAAAAATTGTACAATTCTATTTATACATATAGATATCTCTTGATATACTAAAAAATTCTCCAATATCTCGTTATCGCTATATGCCCCTTCATCCCCTGCTTTTATAATAAAAGTATAAGTGGCATCCAGGTTCATCCGGAAGTTAACACGGTAGGAGGACGGAGCTCGGAGAAGGTTCCGTGGAAAAACTAGACACAGAACGAAATCTAATGACACCCCGACCGTTACTAATGACACTAACAAGGTAGTTAGATGTTACAGCGAACGTCGGTGGGTTCGGAGCTGGACCGTGGGCCGAGTGAACCCACTTACCGACTTATCACGTAGTTACCTAATCTGTTTATCCCAACGGGGGGTGAAGGAGGACGAAGCTGCGACCAGGGGACGCTAGAAGGGTGTATGGACGTCCCCGAGGACACCCCTTCACCGCCCCTTTTGCACGAGATCATCTAGCAGGCGTCACTTCGACGCACATGTGCGAACTTACGCGTCTCACATTTTCCAGGGAGCGAAGGCGACCGTTGCGGTTGAACTAATCAAAGGTATCGAAGGCTTATACGATGCTAAATGAACGTTTGGAACACAAACGTATCTGATACTATTTGTTTCAATTTTTATCCAACACTTTTTCGATTCAAAACAATCGTTACAACGATTAACATTTTGGCCCTTTTGACATTTAATTCGCAGTTCCTAATCTTCTGCTTTTTAATACTGCGTCGACGAAAGCTCTGAAATAATTAATGGAGAAAAACTGTATAGTCGACAACAAGATGAAACTTTATAAACGAGTATCCGCTTAAAATTAACTTGCAATTTCGCGTTAAGAGGTTTTTTGCGTAAAACCTAGCCCGATCGTTTTTCAATTTAATACTCAAGCTGCGCGTTGTAACCCGCCGCAATAAATTGCATACATTTCGCGTAATTGTAAGTGGAAGTATCGAGAACATCAACGATAAAGAGAATAATAAATACCCATTAAAAACGTAATTTCAATTTGCGCGGGTGAAATCAATATTTTATTTAAACTATATTTCGAGCCTAGATGGAAGGGCACTTATACGTCCCTGAGGATGGCGGTCTTCTCTTCCCTCCTACACTTACGATCCCCATTCGATTATCTACCTACCACCTCATTAAGGTTCATAATATGCAATAAAGTGAGCATACACGTACATCGATCAACCGTATTCTTAAAGTATACAAAAATATCGAACCCCCTTTCGTTGCACCATTTCGTCTCATAATTGTGTCAAGTAAGAATTTTAACCCAAATCTGCGAACAGTCGATTCTATTTTCGATTTCTCGAATATTATACACATTAATACATTTTACTGCTACGTTTTTGTCAGAGACATTTGGAGCCCCTTGGTCATTTAATTGTGTTGAGGTGGCTTTTCTCATATTCTTTACGATTTTACGTAGTCTTCTATCATCCCTTTTAGTAGTTACACGAGGACGACCATAACTCTTGCGATTAGAAACACTGTTTCATCGCATTTTCTTTTTAAATTACTAATAGTACTTTGACTACACCCAATTAATTCTGCGACTTTTCTCTGTGTGTTTCCTTCCTTGAGGAGCTCAATTATTCTTGTTTTTGTATCTTTTTAATACAATTTACACGATGGCATTTTGCACACGTCTGTCTTACTTGTTCATTAAATGAAAGGCTACTCTAACTTGTTTGCTTACATTTTTGCGGACTCGTCTTGTGTTTACACTTACCCTCCACGGTTCAAACACTCGTAGAGCTAATTAATTCAGTCATGTTCTTTGAAAATAAATGAAAGTTTGTGTTATTTTGTGGTTAATTACTTCCTACAAAACTCCCTTCCATTTCTCATCGGTCTTAATCATATACAATAACATTTTCCAATCATAAAACACGGCAGTTTTTCGTAAAATTTCTATTAACGTGTATGATCGGAAACTTTCTGCCAGGTTTTGTACTTATTTAATAAAAAGATCAAACAAGAGTAAATTGTACAATTCTTACGTTTCGATTTAATTCAGTTTTAGTAATTTCTCTTGTCTGAAACACATTTTAGAGGATTGGAGACCTTAGTTAATAATCGATCCTGTTTGAAAGAGACATCGAAGCGTCGGTGGACGTTTTAAATTGGCATTATCGCGCGTCGCAGAATATCTGCAAATGTGGGGTAACATTCCTCCGACAGAAAACGAGATTCGACTTGGAAAACGATCGTCGAATAGGCGGGCACGCTGCCGTCCAAGTTCCGAAGAGCGACTCGGCACCGCCGTCGGGACGCGGTTTAACCGGAAGTTGGTTCGAAGTGCAAATTAAGTTTAGCGACCGTCCAGTTTGTAGCGTCCACTTTGCGTAACTCGGTCTAGTCGGTAATGTAACTTCATCGATGTGTTCCGCCAGAGCAAGTGCCGGTACAATCAATCTCCCTTTTCTCTCTTCCTCCCCCTTTTCCACGCCAACTACCATCCATACACCTTTGTGGTCATTCGTATTTCATTCTTTCGCGAACTCTTTTTTATTGAATCCTGTAAAAAGTTCTCCCCTTTTTCCACTGGACATTTCAATGTCGTATTCAGTCACCGTAGACAACCAAGAATCATGTATAAACATTTTGGTAATTTATCGAAACTTTTTTATATCAAATTTAATCATTGAACGAGCATGAAACATTCGCTAATATTGATAAAGGAGGAATTCAATTCGGACTTTATGCTGATGCTATTTTATGGCTCTTGTTATATGTAAGGTAACGTGGAAAATTGTATCAAGCGGGAGTTGGACAATTTGTCATGATGTAGCTCGTTTTAAAGTCTAACCCCGCAGCGGCTATAGTGAAATTGGGGATGAATAGTGAGGGAGGAAATAGATGAAAAAATGTAAGATTATGGACGGAATCAAATTTTTCTTACAGGGGTAAATCGGGACGAAACAGTACTCTGGGGAGATTGGTAATCGTGTCGCTGGAGGGTACGAAGGAACTTTGATAGAAGAACATGTTTGCAGACTCGATTATTATATTTCACGATCTGTAATATTGGTTTCATGAGAAACTAATATTTTTTCGAACTGTTGGTTTACGTTTTCTTCTGCATAGAATCGGATACGTTTAATAAATAACCATATTCAGCATCATAATCGACCATTTATTTTCATTATTCAACAAATAATTTTCCAGTTAACAGTTTGAACAAATTTTGCTATCTAATGCGAAGGTGATCGTAATAAATGGTAATCAGTCAAAGCCACGTGTGGACTGTACAGAGGATGAGTCAGCACTTCCTAACCTAAATCCTTAATTTTCTGTTGGCTGGCTCTCGAAATGCGTAGGCGAGCACTATTATGCAACGGAAATACTTCGGTTTCTGTTTTCGAGCATCAAACAATTTTCCAATTAATAACCGTTGAACACGGTCCATCTGTTAATAACATACATTCGAGGTCACGTTCGGAAACGATATTAATTTTTTACAGTCCAATGAAACGTTTTATCTTTTTTTTCTGAAGTTAAATCGACGCGTACAGTAGGAGCAAAACCAACTGACAGCTCAAAGCCGTGGAGGGGTTATCCATGTCATACGCTCCCTGACGTCTAAAAAAGAGGCAAACTGGCTGGTATAAAAGGGGACGAGTCGTATCTGACGTGATTCATGTCAGGCCTTGAGCGGTCAGTTGATTTTAATACCACCGTAGTCGAATACATGCGTAACCAGGGTTTCTTCAAAGTCAATTTTTTCGAACACTGTGCCCCAAATAAAAAGAATACGTTCCATGCTTTCAATCTATTTCCATACGATTCATGTTGCATACTTTTGTCGAAGAAGAGTGCCGATAAACAGGAGATGGGTCGATTGTTATGGCGTTGTTGGCCCATATTTTAACCCACGGGTTATAGGTTAACGATCAGTGTAGCGGAATATTAGAACAGATGGATTGCCTACTTACAGGGGTGAGTGGCGGTGAAGGGGTAGTCAAGGGAAGGTGGTAATCGCGGTGTTGGGAGACCCGGGGGGCAGTGGTAGCAGAACATGCTCCCAGCCCTGGCCACCGTGCCACCCCCCGGCCCTCCACCCCCTCCGACTCCAGGCACCTGCGGCTGACTCGACTGTTGTTGTTGCTGTTGCTGCTGCTGCTGATGGTGCGGGTGATGGTGGTTATTGTTTGGTTGGTGGGTGTGAACAGTTCCAATCTGCAACAAGTACACGTTTTCGTATAACTCACTGAACCTTCACCGAGACTAATTCTAAGTAGGCAATTTCAAGTAGACAATTTTTCTTAGGGTGACCAGGCAGTCTGATTGAGCTTTTTTATAAAGGCTTATTAAAAAAAAAAAAAAAAACGGCTGGGTATAAATAATTTCCCTTTTTTCTATTTTCATACGAAGAAAACACATGTTCGTGAAGTGAATTATAGCATTTCATATTTCAATAATTTTAACGATATTATCACTCGCAATACACTTTGTCTAGTTTTGCCAAAAATGCAAAATTACTTTAAAAACATCATCGGGAAGTGCTGGTTTGTGTTTATAGCTATCTAACTTATTTTGGGCCTTCGTTTTGTCCGCCACTTGACTAACTGTTCCCGACATCTCCGACTTCTACGCTAGGCATTTTCATCTTCCAAATTCTTATTTTTCGCCAGAACGTCATGAAACATAAACATTTAATTTCTTAATAGTATTACTTTCGAAAAAAAGGAATTGAAAAAAATCGATTTTCTGACTGCCTGGTCTTCTTAAGTAGAAGAACATACATCTGGTCAGACAGTCCACTCACAAGTACAGTAGAACTTCCGTTATTTAAACAGACAGGTAACGGTTAAAGTAATTTTTATACAAGAGGATACTTACTCTAGTGACATTGATAATTTTATATTTAAAATAAAATAACAATAACCGAAACAAAAAAGAAATACAAATCGAAATTATACGAATCCCAGTCGATAACGGTTGGCTGATAAGGTCACGTACGCGTGATAGCGGCTGTTAACGACTTCGATTTTGATGACTAGTACAGAAATGAAAGAAACGCAACGTTTCGAACTCGATAGCCCCCAACGTCTTGCCCGTTCTTTTGAGTACGTCCGCGACAACCCGAACAACTACAGCGATTCCCGGAGCGTCCAAATCACCCCCAAAATTCTATTTACTCCCTTTGAAAGGAAACTACGTGCATACGTAAAGCGAAACCCGAGCCGGTAATCCGTCGTCGTGGAAGGTCAGGCAGCCGAAACGAAAATTGGCTGAATTTCGTTAAGTTTGGCAGCAATTACTTTTGATACCCGACACGCGGCCGTAATTGCGTTGGGCCAAGCAGAAGCAAGAGAGGGGTAATAATTCGCTAATATCAATTTCAAATTTCAATTAGTATCATCTCGACGTCTGCTCCGCCCGTTCCCCTCCCGTCCCCCCACCATCTCTCGTCCCCGCTCAGGTCCCTCGGTTCTCGTGGACCCCAGAAGAGCACGGCATGATCTAAAATTCAATTTGTCCCTTGTAGCGGAGCCGCAAAGGGTGAAGGAGGGACGAAGAGAGCGGAAGGAGAAGAAGAAAGAGAGAGAGAGAGCGAGAGAGATCGGGGTGGCGACGCGAGGGAGGGTAGGAAGCAAGCAACGCAGAATCGCGCGGCTGCAGAAGCGAGGTGGGGGTGGACGTAGTTAGAATACACCGAGTTTAAAGCCACTCGCGTGCACGACGTTATGTAACCAGAGCTACGGCCCTGTAGGCACGCGCATGCGCGACACACCGACCCATTATAAATTGATAACTACGCCGTTTATTAAGTTCCACGACCGATGGCTGCTTAGGCAAAGAGCCCTCCACGCTCCTCGCCGATACGTGCATTATTTATTTACAGGAGTTTACAATCCCTCTAATGGAGATCGGCGTAATCGGCCGCTCATACGCCTCTCTTCCCCCCCACCACCGGTCGTGAACGGTCACCCTCCGTGGTGCCACCCCTGTCGCGTTCCCTCTTAATCGTGTTTCACCCCGCTTTCGAAAATCCGCGTGTCGCCGGTGCTACGGGGAAATCGGAAGTAGCCGGGCCATCGGCGCGCTACGTTCTTCGAACGGGGGTGGAAAGTGTTTGGGAGCTGCAGCCCGAGGAAAATGGGTTTCCACGAACCCGACTAGAGATTATCGAGAACCGTTGAACCTCGATTTTTTGTTACTTAAGGGGGGAGACTCATGTAAAATGGTAAAACGAGAAGAACATGAGGGTTCGATGAAACTTTTCGCCTCTTTCCACATATTCTTTACATTTAACATTTCATGATAAAAATATTTTTTTTTCGATACGTTTTATTGACTTTGGATGAAATAATAAATGTTATTTCTTAGGTCAATGGCGTTGATCGGCTTGCAGTCTAGCATTTTTTTCCTTTGATTTAGAATAAAACATCGAACGACATTTTGTTCGTATCTACTACGCATCGTATGAACTAAAATCTTCCCTAAAAGATGGAAAATTGTCGAAGATACGCGGCTCTGAACACAAAAAAATGATTCTTGCGATAAATTTCTAATTTAATTATGCAATAAACATAGTTTATATAATTATTATTATGAAGGATGTTAGTTTGCAAAGCGATTAAATAAGTATGCAATGAAATGTTTTTAATACGTAAAGTCAATGCGTTTAGATTTTTTTATGTTATTCCAATTGCGATCAATGTTTGTGTATGCAGTCTCGTCTAGCTTCTTTACGCCGACTTAATAGTCATGGAGCCTTAAATTTTTGTCTTCTTATGTGAGAACTCCTTGCAATAATTCAATGTATCGTTGAACGTGATACATTGTGAGTTTCTTTGCAATTTGCTGAAAATAAACTTGATCAATAGTTCAAAATTTTATGACAACAAAAAGTTATCATCGAAGGAAGAGTACTTCAGCACCCAAGATAAATGATAGAAACTAAACTCTGATAAAGAAATGTTTAAGCTGTCCACATAATTCTACGTTAAAAATATTTCTTCGTGCCTCGACTAGCAGTTGCTTTCTTTAAACAAAATTTTAGTTTTGTTTGTTTGGTAAATAGAAAAACTTCACATTTCATATTTTTCTTATAACTTCTTAACAAAGCATTTTTGAATTTTTTGTTACATAACACTTTAGTCTTATTTTTACTTGTAGAACACATTGCTGAAGTGTGCACGGAAAAATGCGGAACACTCTGTATATAAAATTGAAAATTTTAGGGTGGTTTTATAGTTATGACACGCAGTTTATAATTAAAAATTATATACATATGAATTTTATAAAGTCCTTCTTCCCTTGTTTCTTGTGTAAAATGTATACACGGTGTACCTATGTATACCCAGATCATTTTAACCCATCACAGAATTTAGGTTAACTTTTGATTTCATTAGAATTTCAGAACTTTCTCCTAAACTTTCCGTACAGTTCAACTACTATTGTACAGAACTAAATGCATTCCAGAATTTACATGTTGTATAAAAATGATCAAAACAAACGCGTTACGTTTGCTCTCGATACACGTCCATTTACGACGCTGTTGCATTTAAAAAAAAAAAACATGTCCAGCTCGAAACGAATGCTTATAACACAATTTCGCCTCACGATGTTTGTTCGTTTCAAAAACAAGTTAACCCTTGGACTTCGAAGTACAGATAGCTCTCCTACAACACGGCATGCTATAACATGGTTTCGCTTTAACACGATAAGAAAATTGCAAAAACCTTTGTACAACACTGTACTTTCACAAGACTGGATAACATGATTTTTGCTTAACATATTCAAAAACTAAATTACCTTAAAATAATGACGTGAAGGAACAATGAACTATAGTGGCTTTACATGAAAATATATAAACAAACTATAATTTATTAAATTAAGATTGCATTAAATTAAAATAATATTTTTTGTTTTTTTTTGTTTTGTGTTATACATATATTTATATTTTTCATAAAAATTAAGTTGCTTATGTAGAATTAAAAAAAAATATTTGTTTTCAATAAGTTTTCGGAACGTAATTCCCCTTTTTATACTGGCTCTCTGTCTCATATAACACGGTTTCACACAACACCGCATTTTCTAGGAACCTATTTACCGTGTTATAGGAGGGTTACCTGTATATGTATACATTTACGAACACAGAACGCTGACAGACGTCGAAACCCAGTGACACCGGTTAAACGGATCAACCGATTTGTCGCAGGTAGAAAGAACACCGAATCATCGAAGGCCCCTTTTCGAATCGATCTCCCCTGTAGGCGGTCGCGTTCGTAACATAGTGGTACGTAATACAGTGGTACGTGTAATGACGGAACATACGCGCCGACAGAAGGGACGAAATGTAGCGAGGCTAATCCGCGATGAGTCCCCGAGGGTGTCCCCCGGAGCTGAGTATCCAAGAGTGGAGAGTGGGGGACTCGCAGCAAGTCTTTGGCCCCTAAATACACGGGCATACGTGACCCTGCAGCCCCTAAAAAATAAACCTGCATGCGGTACCGGGGGTATATTTGCGGTATTCAACCAGCCGGGCGAAACATTATGCCAGTGTTTTATTGTGCTACCATCCGACTGCACCCTGCATCGGAAGGGATTGTGGCTACAAGTGGTGTGTGTTTACACACCGCCGCACGCGATGGATTTGTTACACGCTCGTTATACTCGTTGCTCTTGTTGCACGTACGATCGCGTAATCGAGGATCGTCAAGTACGCGGAAATGGAATTCGAATGCGATCAGATTTCGCTAATTCGCGCGCAACTGTTGATTCGAGGGTGCCCTCGAGCATTCAAAGTATCGAGAAGTTTCTGTGCACGTGTTTTTTAAAAACTTTTACGGTTTTTCATGTCGAGTTTAATAACACACCGAAGACGGAGCGACGGTGGTTTCCGATCGAATTGATCGAACAAATATTGTTAGCGTTGCAGTTGCGACTTAAAAGAGTAAACCTCGGCGGATGGAGGACGAGAAAGAGCGAGGAAACTCGAGATCGACTATAACTAGTTTAGTTTATCGAGATCGATAAATTAACACTTTGATGGTCGCTCTATGAGATTGTCTGGAGGATCGATCGAACGAAGGAGGAAACGGAAGCACAGATACGGTTAAACGTGACGTAGAAATAAAGAACGGGTACCAGAGACAATTAGGGGAGACAATAGGTTTTATTAGCTGAATTTGGCAGGTGTGAGAGAAGGAATCGTGTAGGTTCGAAGA